GGCCGGTTCCCCCTTCACTGAGGGCCGCTGCGCCAGCGTCTTCGGCTTCTTCCTCTAGTTTATTTAGTTTCCAGAGGCGGAAAGTTCGCGGTTCTGTGATACCGTTTAGCGCAGAAAGAAAAAGAGAAAAATCTCCCCGCGCTTTTAACGGTTTGTTTGATACCAAGGGGTGTCCGTCAGGAGTGGGCGGGAGGATCCAGCAGGGTCTGTCCGCGCAAGTCGCCCTCTCCCCGTGTGGGGCTTCGGAGGCCTTTTTGGCCCCAGTAGACACCAACGTGCCACATAATCTGTGTTCTTTGCATTGACACGCGAATGCAAACACTACTTTTAAGCGTAATTACTGTTGTGCTGTGGAAGGGGAAGGGGCTTTCACAGCTCACCAGTTCTGAATAGCGCTCCTGCACGATCGGGCCGGCCTAAGCAGCAAAAGGATTAGTCTGAAGAGCTGTTTCGTTGCCTCTCTGCTTCGTTTAACAGCCGTGGTGACAAGTTGCAAAGAAATCAACAGCAGCAGGTGGCTGGAGGTGCCTCTCGCGCCATGGGGGCGCTTAAACAGTGAAACATGCAGAGAAATGCGCGTTAATGCGAAACGCTTTGTGCTGCAGTGCTAAAACTGAAGTGGGAGAAGTTTAAAGAAATATTTCTTCTTGAGTACTTTTGAATTCATTTTACATCTTGATATCAAAAAGCAACGTTTTCAAAGTTCAAGTGCGGAGTCCTAAGCGTAGAAAGCTGATATGGTTACAAGATCACCATGTACCCAAATATAATGTTCTGGCAGAACACTTGTAAAAGCAGGAGGGAAAAAAAAAAAAGAATCTCTACCACGTCTGTGTGATATGTCAAAGATAAGCTAAGCAGAGCTTTGATTTATGTGTAACAGAGCCTCGTAAATTGAAGACTGCCTAAGCTTTAAAACTTACAATGGTTATATGGCACGAATGAGTCTTACTGGTTCTTAGGAGGTGGTTTCTGAAGACTTCCCTACGTTTCTGATGAAAGCGTCTCATAAGGATTTGACTTTCAAACATGGGAAGACATCAAAGGCAGCCTCCTGAGGAACTGAGGAACATAAGTTAATACTGAGTAACTGAATGTCCATATCTTTCTCTCTTTCTTTATTTTTTTTCCTTCAAGTGTTACAGTGAATGTTGTGTAATTTCTCCATTATCTGTTAAGTCAGATGGCAAGGCAATTTTTTATTTATTTTAGCCTTGCTACACATGCTTCTTTTTTAAGGAGCATGATGGGTGACACTTATTAATAGCTATGCATAATATGGCTTCATCCCCAACCCACCAGGAGCAGAACATCTTCTGTGTAGCTTGTGCCAAGCAAGCCTTAGGAATAGCTCTTTAAACACAGTTGCAACTTAAAATATCTTTTCTCCTGCAGCCTTCTCAAATTTTAGGGTGATGTTTGTTTTGTGGGTCTCTAGTTTTTATGACTTTCTGTAGCTCTTTTCTGTAGCTCAGAAAAGTGACTGTAACAAGATCAATATGCCATTCTTTGTCCATTTTGACTCAGCGGGCTAATCTTGAGGTATATTTAGTACTTGCAAATCCAGGATTTTCTCTGTATCTAAATGACAGAGCAGCATAATGCGCAGTGTGCTGCTTCTGAGAGGCTGAGGCGATGTGTTGAGGTAGGGTAGGGAGAGGGAAAATGAGCCTGACGAATCTTGCAGCTTTGGGTAGCACACATTGAAGGTCATTAGACGTCCTGCCTGCAGTGGCAATGCAGTTTTTCTGCAACCGCCTGATAGAGAGGGTTGCCAAAAATCAGAGGAGTTTAATATCCCTCAAAACAAAGATTTTTTTTCCTCACCTAGCATGAATGTGAAGATATATCTTATATTTTCATTTTAATGGTTCACTATGGCTTTTATTTTGTTCATTTAGGAAAAAGAAATCTGCTTTATGAGTGTCTGAAACTAGTGCTTGGTTCATGTGTCATCAAATTGGAAACTGCAGGAAAGCAAAGAACCATCTGGAGTCTTTGGGTGTTTGGAGGCGAGGGGGTCAGGTTTGTGCTCAAGAGTGCTATCAATACAGGAAAAGCTGTGAACAGTGTTTCAGCTTCAAAAATATATCAAGTGTCCTAGACATTTTGTCCATTTCCTGTTTTTATTTTTTTAACCATCTTCTTTCCATAATTAGGAAAAATACCAAAATGAAAGAAGTGGACAATATAAAAACTGTGAAGGATGAATGGTAAGTGCTGATCCTCCCGCCACGCACACATTTCTTTTCTCTTGCTTTCTCCTATTGCTGTCTGTGTGTCTTGTCATGACCTTTAAGCTTGTATATACTTGAAACAGGAAAACTTTTAACACTATGAAGAATATAAGGGGAGTTACTGGTGATGAGATTTGAATGAAATATCCAAAAGTACAAGCTGAAATAGAACTAGTGAAGTGTTAACGAAAGACCTGATTTCAAACTGGCATGTCTTCTGTTTGCCAGTTCCTCACTGCTTAAATAATAGTTACAGTAACTAATAGATCTGTTAGAGCAAATGTTTTTGTTGCTATTATCCTCCATAACAGAATTTTTCTGTGATTAAACTGTAAAGGACATCTGTAATTAAAGAATAAAGGATTCTTTGTTTGCTTTATGCATCTGCTGCACATAAATTGGAGTTTTCAAGAGGCAGATTGTTGTGCTTAAAGATTTTTTGCATACCTAGAATGTTTCCTGGATGCAAGAAGCCTCACCTACATTTTTACTTAAAATAGAAAGACAGGCTTACAAACTGCTGGCCCACTGTGGGCCTCCACATTCAGTGTGAAGGTGATGAGTTTTCAGTTATGTTTTTGAGGTAAGCTTATTATGTCAAAACTTAGTTCATGATGTCACTGAGATTTTCTTTTGTTTAAGGTCGCTAATCTTACTGTTACATAAAGGCAGTGCTAACAATAGTCGTTTCTTTTTTCTGTGCACACATGTCTAATTGCTATTCCAGTAAACATTGTTCTTTTCAAATTTAATGTAGAGTTTCATGTAAAACTGTTTTTCTTTAAGAGCTAGGGTAGACTTTTCCGAATTTCCAATAGAAATAACTTCTGCAATATTTATCAAAAGTTGCACAATCCTCTTACTACTATGCAAAGAACGTAAACTGAAAGACTGTCATTCAGGTTGCATATTCCTGTTTTGTTTGGTCACATATCCAGTGCTCTATAAAAGACATGGGTGATGCAGCTTTTTTAATACTCTTTCCATCTCCAAGATATGTAATCTTCTATTGTATTTCTTCAACATGCTCAAGTGGTGAGTGAGTTGTTTTCAGGTTTCTGTAAGATACTTTCAAAGGCAGGAAAGGTGCTTCTATGCTGGTGCTGGGATTGGGAGGGCTTGGATGCAGGGAAGTAAATGCTAGGGCAATTTTCTTGGATGTGTGTTTTAAAAAATTATGGTGAAGGAAGTTATTCATTCTGACAGGAAAAAGCTTTAAGAAAAGGAAAGCTTTTTGAAGGTGTTTGATTAAATGTTTGATGGCTTGAATTAGAAGTACAAATTGCTTAATTTTCATTCTCTGCTCTGATGCCTACTTTAGAAGCTTCGCCTCACCTTTTCTATTGTCATTCTTTATATTGTGCTTCTGAAGTGCCAGTAATAGACACCAGTTAGAGATTTGTATGCCTTTTTCTGAAAAAGCACAATGCAGAGCTGTACCAGAGCTTTTCAACACCAGCTAAGTTGGGTGCAGGGGAACAAATGCTTTGTATCTGCAGGTGTTGAATTTCTGGGTTAGCTACTTCTGTTTTCTATTGTGTTTTCTGAGAAAACAAACTAATTTCTGAGTCTTTGTTTTGCAGGAGGTGTAAATCTGGAACTGATGATCAGATTCTGAATGGCACAGATCAAAACTGTGACTATTTTGTAGATAAGCTTTTTGAAGAAGCTCAGAAGGTTGGTGCTATGTGCATGCCCCCAGCTACAGTCAAGAATCAGGTAGGTGATGACTGACAGCACACTGGAAAACCAATGCAAGAATTCTATCAGTCTTATCCAGTCCACCTGTAAAGACACGTGGATGTCATGTAAAGATTGGAAAAATCTCTATGCTCTATCATCTGTGTAACTTGCATTGGTTCATGCACTTTTGCTTTATTGGTAAAGAGAGTGGTTTGATCATAGTGTGCAAGAATGCGAGAAGTAACCACAAAAGAAATTGCCATATGGAATTCTCTCTCTCTAAAGTTGTTTAAACAGTTGCAACCTTTTACAGGCTGTATGCCTTTTCAACAGATTACCCAAGCAAAAGAGAAGGGATTCTGTTCACAGTTTGCACATGCTGTGTGTTTATGTAGCAATCATCTTCTAACAAGCCAAACTGTGCATAAATAGAAGGAGGAGAAAAAAAAATACTGTCAAGTACTACGAAGCCACGTTCAAACTAATTTCCAGCTGAGGTGAATTCTGTATTTGTGCGTGTTTCATATGCCATACATGTGGCCATGTACCTATCAAGGCTGTGTAATTTCTGGAGTCAGACCTCAATGACCCTATGCTTCTTCAAATGGCACAATGTAGAAATGGGAAAAAACGATTCCAGATTTATTATCCCTGTTGAGGTTGGAGACATTTCAGTGAACAGTGTGAAGGCTGCATGTTGAAGAAGTAAATGTCTCTCTGACAAGGGGAGTGAATTACTGAGAATTTATTTTTTCATCCTCCTAAGACCTGTTGGTTTTTTCATAGACTCAGGTTTTCCACGGTAACATTAAAATATGGCTATCTAAAAGTTACGTTTTTAGGTAACTGTTCCTGCCTTTCCTGAGTAAAAGGCTTCTGCATCAATGCTTTAAATGCTCCATCTTCAGAATATCCTCCTGAATGGTCAAAGCAAGGCAGCAACAAACCCAGCTGGACTCTGCTGGCAGTTGGTATTGCAGGCACCAGATGTACAGGCTCTCAAATTAGTGCCCTTGAAGAATTGCAGCAGGTTGACATCTTCAATCTTCTCTATTTCCTGCTGGGAGAAAGCAGTATTCCTGGCCTGGGAAAGCATGGGGATGAGGTTTTTGTCATCTCTTATTGAGAGATGATACTTAGGAATGTCACTTACCCCTTGCAGTTGGTCCAGCACCAACAGGCAGAGCAAAATAGATTATAAGTGAGCATTCTGTCAGCTTTTTTTGGCCACTCAGTGGATGGATATAAAAATACAGGGGACTTGGTATGTCAAACAGTGCTTACATCAGTGACATGATGAGAATTTGTTCTTATTTTACAGGTTGATATAATTATTAAACTGTGGAAAAATGGATTTACAGTAAATGATGGTGAACTCAGGAGTTACGCTGATGTTGCAAACCAGCAGTTCTTGGACTCCATTAAAAAAGGGTATGTGAGCTTCTGTGTATTGAGTCAGCCTGCGTTAATATGCTTTGGAGAGCAGCTTGCTCATGCTTTAAAGCTAGATGCGTTTTGACATAGCTGCTTGGCTTTGCTCTGTGGTGGCACTGCAGGAGTGTGGGCTCTTGCCTCTCAAGTTCCTGCAGCGTTAATGGCTGTTTTATAATCCGTGGGTTTCGCAGCCTCGCGTTGCGGTAGCGGTGCGCTTGCTGATGAAATGGATAAAAGCAAGTGTTGGTAGGAGGCACAGCAGGTGCAGGATGAAATACAGGGCAAGTGAGAATGTCTGGTAATATCTACCACTCAAATGATGCTTTAAGTAACAAACTCGATCCACAAGTGGTTGATCATTTTGTTTTTTGTGGCTTTTGTGTGTTTTCCTATTATTGATAAAAAAGCCTCCATTAAATGAGCAGAGTTGCTGCATGTTACAGAAGTTCTAATCAGCCTTTGGTTTCTTTCTCTAGTTCAAACTGGTGATTTCCATCACTTGAGTGTATTCTGCAATCTTTCCTTAATCCTGCTGTTAATGACTGGCAGACTGCTGTAATCTCTAGTATTCGATGCAGCATGCTTTAAAATAGTAGATTGAATGTAGAAACTAATATTTTTTGATCCTTTCATTTGTGATGTTATGTTGCCCCATATGAGTGGACTTCTACGGAGAGTATAATTTGGTAATTCCTCTACATTTATGTGAAGCAATTAAGCTAACTTTTGGTCTTCTCCATGCTTTACCAGGTCTTGAAAAATGCATTTTTACACTGTGTTTTTCTCTGTGGATGTAAACCACATGGGTTTCGCTAGCAATTTTACTGCGTTGTTTGAAGTCCCCTACTCTGTTTGCATGAATCAGAGACAAGCTTGCACCTCCCTTCCACTGTTTGCTTGTAGAGATGCTAAGTAATCACAAGATGGTTCCCAAATAACTTGCTGGTGGAGAAGCCCTCAGTACAGTCCACGTACCAGCTAGGTACCCCAGCCCAAAAATGTGGTATCTGCAGCAGAGCTCTAAGTGATGGCACTGCTGTGTTCTCCTTAAAGCAAGTAACCCATCACCAAGGAAATACTATTTCCATGAATAGTGGAGCTGTTAGGGATTTAATTTTTTGAAAAGCTGAAATTCATGTTTATCTGTAATTAAACATATGTTTCTAAACTCAGCCTTTCTCTAAAAGACGAATGTGTTTTATTTTATTTTACTCTGGCAATTACAAAAAAACCTACTGCAGCTGTGTCTGTTAATACTATTTCTTTACACATTCTGTGAGCTTTTTTTGGTGTGATAGCTGCTGAGTAAATTTGAACATCATCCAGTAATTCTCATGCTGTCTGTTTTTTATTCTTCTTTCTAGTTAATGTGCAGATGAGGAATTTGAAGTTTTCTATCATGTGCACTTAATACAGCTCTTAGTAAATGCTTTCACTTATGAATTTAAAAACACATTAATAATCAATACTTTGTGTACTGAAAACAGTATCATATTTCTTTTTGTGATATGCCTTTTTTTTCCTTAAGGGAACTGCCTTTTGAGCTACGAAAAATTTTTGATAAGGAGGAGGTAGATGTGAAAGTGGAAGACAAGAAAGATGAATTGTATTTATCGTCGAAAAAGCCACTGTTCCATCCCTTTTCTGGACATGGTTACAGATTAGGAAGGTAAGTAGTGTGGCATGATCTGTGACATGAAGCAAACTATACCTACACTAAAGGATTATATGATAACTCAGGTTGAGAGGGACGTGAGGGGTCTCCTGCCAGCCTCCTGCTTAAAGCAGGGTCTGTTGAGGCTGCTCAGGGTTTTATCCAGTCAGGTCTTAAAACCTTGCAGATCAGTGCTGAATAGAGGGGGTCGTCTGTTCCCAAAAACCTGCCTCCTGTGCTTTTGTTAATATGGCTGAGATGCTCTTGGTCCTGTCTGCTCAAGATCTGAACATTGGCAGTGCTTTCTGCAAGGGCTGTTTCCCATTGAAAGGCTTTTCACTCTTCTATTCCGTAAGGTAACCAAAAAACACCTTTAAAGCTATATGCACATTGTTTTGTGTGAGAAAAGGGGAATATGACATTCTCATAGAATGCAAAATATCCTCTTACTCGGTTCCTTTTGTGAGAATTTTTTAGTATTCTACCATATGTTTATTGGATTAGCTTTTTAGCATATTACACTGATTCCTCCTACGTTATTCCATGCTTCTCGTATGAGTGGGGAAGAACAACCACTGCTGCCAGTGCTAAAACTGGGCTTGATTTATTACCAAACAGCACTGTATTTTGGAAGAATGTTGTAGAGGGACAAGCCAAGAGTTCACGTGTCAACCTCTGTGATGTTGCTTATTCCGGGCAAATCATCTTCACATATCTGTGCCGCATAAGATTTGTGTGCTTTTAAAAACAGACTTTGGCTTAGGAAACATATATATAGCAAAGACTGAGTGGCTCCAGGCTGGCTTAGAGAAATCAGTATATGTTTCCTTAGAAATCCGTGTGTCGTACAGTCCATTCAGTGGCTGTATGTCTGGGTAGGTGAGGTTGGTACAGGAAAGCTTCCCAAGAGGAGCAGATAAGGGGAGATGAGATGTTGCAAGTCTTGCTTCTGGTAGCAGCAAAGTTCTGAGCAAACAAGGGTCAAGAATTTAATACTGTTTAATCCACAAGTAGACAGGGATATAGGAAAAGGAAAAAGTGATCTATAAATATGCTGGGTTTTGCTGCTGACATCAGTACTAAATGTCAGCTTGTTCACTTGCTTGTCTTGCTCTGTCATGCCTACAGCAAGGAATGATCTTGCTTCCCAGTAGATTCTAGAAACCTGCTATTTTATGCATTTCAGCTGGCCGGTTTTATGCACTGAGATGTCTTACAACTTGCTCAGCATATTTGTTCATTACAGACTAGATAAAATACCTTTTTTCCCCCCATTAAACTATTTTTTTTTTTTAAATAGTCCTCATGGTTTTCCTCCTGGTGTTTCTAGGATGGATGGATTATATAGGTGAATGAACTTTGTAGTCCTTATCTGCCACTGGCTCACTGTAAGCTCTGCTTGAGGAAAGGAACTAGGACTGTTTTTTATACATGTAAAACTCATCTGAGTTTGATCCTTTTCCCTGTGTTATAGGGAGACTTATAAGGTATGTTAGAAGAGTCTAATGAATCCGTGCAAGTAAACGGTTTCTCTCTTCTGTTTTATCCATCTCTGTGTAGCTGCATTTAATGGTTTGTGTAAGATTCACAACCACGTTTCTTTGTTCAGCTTAACTATACATTTTATATACCTCCAAAGCATGTTAATGAAAATATTGACTGAAAACGCTTGTAGCAAAGTGGACTTGCTTCATAACCTCATTAGAGTAAAACGTTGTGTGTCAAGCTTCTTAACCCTTAGTCTGGATAAGGTACAATTCCCTTAGGGTTTTTTTTCTGTAAAATGACTAGAGGGTCTCATGCCTCTTCCATGTTTAGTTTATAAGATTATTAAAAGAAGATGCAACAGGAATAAGGAAGCCTTTGAAAGAGATGATGCTTTGAAATCAGGTTAATAAGCCTTTAGTTCTTGGTTTGCGGCTTTAGTCAAAGCTGCTACCGCTACATGGCTTCATCTGCCAGCTCTAAAAGGGCAAAGCTACTAAGTATGGACACTCTTTAAACCCTGGTGAGCATCCTCCTAACTTTTCCTTGCAGCTCAGCTTTAACTTGGCTTCAGTTTTATTCCACATACACTTGTTATTAGGAGGATCATCTCCGACACCTAGTAAAAATTCTTGAGATATGAACACAAAAGAGGAGCTTTGGCTCAAGAATTGCACCAGAGTTTGTATCTGCTTGAGAGACCTGTGTCTGAATGACCACTGTGGTTGATGGGTTTGTTCTGGAACCGAACCCCACTGGGCAGAACTGATCATTGCTGGGCTGACTTGGACACTTCATTCCATTCTGCTTCCCATATTTGACATCACCTTGCTGGTCCTCAAGCCTTCTCTCCAGCTCTGGAGGACCACCAGACTTTATCAGAGGTTAAACACGAACAGAAACAAAGAAGTATGGATGGGAGCCTAATGCGTTACCTATCACTGGAGCACCAGGATCTTTTACAGATGTTTCTCCTGGCATCTGTTCATTTCTACTTCTTGCTCCCCAGTTGATTTTGGTATAATGCAGAGCAGTGAAGTCTGTGCCCCTCTGGTGCCTCCAGTCCCACTGAACATCCCTTATCCCTCGCTTGGGAGTGAGATTCCCTGCTTCTCATTCTTTTCATGCAGTTTCAATGGGAGAAATTAGAAGCACCTCTATTCTTGGCTGGCAGCCTAGAAATTAGGATGCTTACTTAGACAGTGGAAGATTCTGAAATAGATTTTTTTAATATCTCAGCATGAGAAGGACATGAGTTCCAGAGTCCAACTACTTTTTATTTATTTATTTTTAGGCATAGTCTTCAACAAATACTTTTTTTATTATTTTTTTAATGAAAAAGTGGCTTTGTCTTCGTTTTGATTAAACTATCAAACCTACAGGAACAAAATGATGTAAAGCTGGGGCTTGTTTGTGAAGCAGATGCAATAGTTTTAAGAAGTGCTATGCATGGCCATTTGTTACTGACACCTCACTTAAGAAACAATAATGGATATTTTTTCCAGTGCAAAGATAAAACTTTCCCTGCAACGTCTGTGAAGCACTTGTGTAGTCAGTGACCATGGCTGAGCTGAGAGAAACAGTAACTCCTTACATCACTGCTGTTATTTTGCAAGGAAACAGCTGGTTGTACTTACAGACATTGAGGCTATTCCCGTTGGATCGGACCCTATTGGTGATTTAAGCAGTGCATGCACACCTGATGCACACCTGAAAGTTTCACCTGTGTGGTTGGAGTACAAAAATGAATGAAAAATCTTCAAACTCTCTCACTTCTCTTGTGTGTTCGTGTTTAATCCTTGCTTTTTTCCCCTCCACCATTTTCTGTGAACAAGCTAAGACTCTTTTAACATTGTAGTCTTCAAGAAAAGATACTGACATGTAAAAATTTGTTTAAAATCCAACATCCATGTTAGTATTCCTCTATTTCTTCAAAAAAGGGAAATCCTCAATGCACATCGACTGAGGGTAGAACGCTCCAGAAGCAGTGGTGTGAATGGAGGTTCAAACTCCCAGGTGACCTCAAGTGACGTAACCTTGTGTTGCCTTTTCAGTGCAACTCCAAGGATCATTTCTAAAGCAGCAGATGACCACGAAGAAGCTGACAGCAAAAGACCTCTTCCGTTAGTACCCTTAAATGACTTGGAGCCCATCACGAGCATCCAGATCTGGTTAGCTGATGGAAAAAGGATAGTGCAGAAATTCAATGCTTCTCACAGGTAAGATATCTTTTAGCACTGTGCTATGCATCTGCATCAGAACTATTTATCCTATAAGTGTATGTGTAATAGGTCTCTACATTCTGTGAGTAATAATTATGGCACCCCCATTATGTTTACTTAACAATGGAGAACTATTCAGCTGAATCTAGAGTACTTGTTTTTTTTGAGAAACTAATCCATTTTTACTTGACAAGATGGGAGTGTAAGAGGAATGTGCAGTGACATTAACTAGTTAGTGCATAAGAGTAAAAATGTGCCCAAGAAATTTTAGGGCTTCCTTGTAGCTTATTGCAAGTAAAGGTAGATACGTTGCTCATTACTGGAGGAGGGAGTTGAGCAGGATTTTTGCACAGCTTTTGGGATGACAGATATTTCACAAAATGAGTACATCTGGAGCAACTCAAAAAATAAAAACAAAGGTAGTCATTGAGCAGAGACTGTACTACAGATGTTGAGTTTTAGCACATCCACTTGTATCCCTTCCAGCATGTAGAGGGAGCTGGAGGATGTCACTTAGATTTGAGCCAAAGGAGCCTCTAGGGAGGGACAGAGTCGGTGCATTAAGCAGGAGGGGTTATTCACCTACGTCAGCTCTGTCAGCAAAGCCAGACTAGAATGCATCTGGTATATTTAATTCTCATCACTAAAACTTGCAGTTCCCCAAAGAGACTTATTAATGGTAACATCAGAAGTGTCAGCCCAGCATGTGTGTGCTGGGACTTTGAGAAAGAAGGTGGAATTAACTATTTAAATTGTAGAACTACTCTCTTAACACTTTTCTCAAATTTGTAGTTTGCTGCTCAGTACTGCACAGTCATGTAATACTGAAATGACGTGTTGTCTGTGCTGTGCTCTGATGCAATTTGAAGTGATGATAGGCTGAGCACAATCTAGGCTGCTGTTAAGGTAAGCTCGTAAGGCGTTGTGTCTGGGCACATGGAAAGCTTAGCAGTTACAAGCTAATGATTATAACTCTTTCTGCCTTAAGTAGTACTACTTTGTTACTGTTAACTCTAGAAGCCTGAGGTATGAACTGAAACACTGTTGTGATGTACTGAGGAGTCAGTTGCTATTTTGATTATAAATCTGTAAGTGGAGGCCTCACTACCGTCATTATTCCAAGTTTGCTTTCATCTTTAGGTAAATAAAAGTGTGAAAAGCTGCTAGGTGCTTTTGGAGAAAACAAGCCTGATATAAGGAAGAACATGACATGAGGAAGAACTTTTTCCGTAAGGGTGACGGAGCCCTGGCACAGGCTGCCCAGAGAGGTTGTGGAGTCTCCTTCTCTGGAGATCTTCCAAACCCGTCTGAATGCCACCCTGTGCCATGTGCTCTAGGTGTCCCTGCTGGAGTGGGGGAGTTGGACTAGATGATCTACAGAAGTCCCTTCCAACCTCAACCATTCTCGTATTCTGTGATAAGCTGCCCTGCTGGTGTGATGCTCTTCTTAGGACAAGCTTACAGTGAATATTCCATAATGACATACGTTCTTACCATGTGGCCGTCATGTTTCTGGGCTATATGTATAGTATGTGCCTATGGTCTAACAAGGAATGGGGAAGTCCTTGTTGGGGGGTAGAACCTAAAGGTTAGGACTGCAAGTAGGGCACTTGCATCAGAACAGAATACTCCCTTTTTCAGTGGGAGGAGCAGACCAAAATCCCCTATTTGTAAACCAAGCTATAGCCTGTAGGACAAAAATGAACAGTGACCAGGAATTAATAGGACAGATATAGTCACTATCTACGTGTGGCAGAGGAGCTTGGTCATCCGTGCTACTAATTATTGGATTTGGTTTCACTCAGGTCACGTAGCATTCTCCCAAACTCAGATCAGGAGATACATCAGGTCAGGGACCATTCTGTGTAGCCAGAAAACCCTGGAAGCTTCCTGACTCGTGGGGGAAGGAAGGGTGAGCTTAAAAATTTGCCTCTGGGCAGACTCTGCCCAGAGGCACCATTTATTTTTCGGGTATGGATGTATCCTGTCATCTTCCTTTTCTAATCAAACTGCTCAGTCCAGACTCTTCCTTGTTATTACAAAGCTGTCTTGCTCCTTGTTCTTTAGAGATTCAGGCTGGCTATTAAGGGGTCATGAATTCACCCCTGCCCCTGCTTTGGTAGGAGGAGACTATGTTTAGACTTAATTAATATTTGGGGAAGTTTTGCAAGACTTCTTAAATTTTTATTATAGTGCTGCTATACACATTACACACTAGAGACTTGCTTATTCCAGCTCATGGTTGTAGAGACCACAGCTCAGAGCGCTGCCAGCTGTGAAGAAATGTGTGAGCTGCAGTGAAACATCTGGGTTTCTGGAGCAATATGCACCCATCTTTGCCCTTTGGGATTGCCCTAAGAATGTTGGAGGAACCTTGGTCCTTCCTCTCAAGTGTCCAGGCCCTGCAAGTGGTCCAGCCCTTCTCTATTCCTCCACAACCATCTCCTTGGGGGTTTATCTGAAACCTGGGCCATCAGGTTCTCCTGTGTGAAACAGGAGTCTCAGAGGTAGCTCTGTGTATTGTGTGTATATTCTGCATTGGGATTTGAGTACTTAATGCCCAATTTTCTTTTTTTCCTCTTCTCAGAATAAGCCACATCAGAGATTTCATCACAAAATACCAAGGATCACAGGGAAGGGTTCCCTTCACACTGACTACTTCTCTGCCCTTTCAAGAGCTGCAGGATGAGACGCTCACACTAGAGGAAGCCAAGTTGCAAAACGCTGTCGTCGTTCAGAGACTTCAGAAAACAACTGAGCCGTTCAGACACTCGTAGTGGAAAAAGCACCTCAGAGTGACTGTAGAACTGCTGCTACATCTGAAGGACCTCTCAAGAATGAGCAAAACAGCGCAATCGAAAGCATGAGCGCAAATTAGATTTTAACTTGCCAAAAGCTACACACAGACAAAACTAGACAAAACCAAAAATGTAACCAGCAATATCTGGATGCACTATGATCCTCACTTAGCTGCACTCTTAGCAAAAAGTGTGCTGTGCTATCATCTGCTATAATAGAAGTATCTTCTACACATTTTTGTGGTGAGAACCTGGCTATAATGTAGCAGAGATAACTGTACAACAGGGCCGTCTTTAGAACTTCTTAGGTAGATAAGCTTTGCCAGCCTATTCTTTAAGGAGTGTCTAGGCGAAATGGTACTACTCTAAGACTTTACTACTACTAATAGCACCTTGTAAGGAAAACATTATTTTTGCACTTTGGACTGAAATGAAACTTAACTGTCTGGCTTCACCTATTTTTCAGTGTAAGCTGCTTCAGTTTGCATTGTTCTTACAGTAATGTTTAGGCAACAGACGCTGCAGGGAAGCTCACATTTGAACTCTAAATAACTTGAAAATATTCTACAGTATCAGTATCTTTAGGATTTAACTTCTGCATATCGGTATCTTTAGGATTAAACTTCTACAGTGTGAATGTTCCATAAAGTTTTCATGTGGTAGGTGCATGTGTGAGAAGATTAAAAACGAGGTAGTCTGGTGCATGCTGCATATGAAGTGCCTCAAAATTAGGCATTATTGCTGATGGCTGAAGTGGTTTCTGCCTCCCTCACGTTCCGCCACAGGTGTTTTACAGGGTGATGTTAAACTACCTAATTCACTAGAAGAAGTAGAGAACCACTGCTAGCCTTTTCTCATCTAAGCTTTTCTTTTTCTGGAGTTTACAGGCATAGTGGCTTAGAGGAATATAGCTGTTTGGTTATTATTTTGTCCTCAAACAACCAGCTGCAGGGTGCACTAAGTGCATGTGCCCATATTTCAGAGATGTTCAAAATCCTAATTTGAAAGTCAGGGTTTCTCCCACCCTATCACCTTCCCTTTTCATCCAAGTCTTATTTTGCTGTTTGTATTTTGGGGGCATAAGATTTGGAGGCAACCACTCCAAATTTTGCTGAAGGAGAAATCAGCATAAAAGCTTAATATCCTGGGAATTGTACTTGCTAAGTAGCATGTGGGTTTGTGAATGGAACTGAAGTCTCTGGATAAGACTCTGCCTGGGGCCTTCAATGAATGGTCACTGGTTTAGGCTACCTGCACAAATATTTCTTCTGCGTGGCTGACTGGAAGATGGGTTTACGGTTTCCTGGTTTTGTTTTAAATAGAAGATGACTTACTGGAGTGACTCGAATTCTTCCTAAAACTCCTATTACCTCAAACAACGCCTGCACTTAATTTATTCATAGGGTTGTAAAAGTGTATTTTGCTTTAGCATCTCTCCAGGTCCACGTTAGAGCAGTTGATGGAATTCAACTGCACAAGTGTCTATTGAGTGTATTCAAAATGCAAATCTCTGAAAACTAGGCAGTTCTTTACAGATAGTTTATAGCAGTTGCTGTGTCATTCAACTTAATATAGCAAATAACACAACTAAATTTTGTTTGCTCTTACGCTGTCTCCTGTTACATAAAAAGTCTACCAGATCTCTAGTAGTAGGACCAGTCAAATACAATACTAAAATTGAAGAGACAAATCATGTAGAGAGCTTCAATTCTTAGTTTGCAGAGCTTTCTGAACAGGGAATTTTATTATCTAAAGCCTTTGAATTTGTTTTAATATAAAACTAAGTATAAGAACACCACACATACTTGATAAGTTCAATGTTCTTATCCAGAAGGTGCATGAAACTTCAAAGTAACAGTAGCATACTACTCCTGCATGTGCAACATAGAAATGTAGTGAAATAGTGTAAAATTAATTGAAACTGGGGGGAGGGAATCAGGTTTTAAAGTAGATGAAGCAATCTTGCTCTTTATCACAAGATCATCTTTTGGAAAGTAGTAGTTAAGTATTAGCAACACTCATTTGTGTCTGCTATCAGTATTTGAGAGACTGGATAGCTTGATTCTACTTAGCTATATATTATGCTCTACTCAACTGTTCATGGCTGCAACTTTTGTAGACTTGAGTGTGTTTGTGGACTGAAAGCATCATGTGAGTGGAGTCATCTTAACTGCAATACAAAATGGGATCAATTCTTTAAAAAGTCTAAGTAATATTGACTGCCTAATCCCATGCTAGACTAGAAGGTGCTTTAAAAAAAAAAAGGCGGAGGCAACAAGCCATGCTTAGATAAATTTGCTGATTTGGAGAACATGTGGAAGAGCCCTGTACTCTTTTTCAAACAGCTAGCTGGTTTTTGGTCAGTTTGTAGAGGCTGATTAAATACCTGTAGAGTCTGAACAGTCTAATCTCCTGCTCAGTGCTATAGACAGCTGTTGTGCATTGGTCAAACACCATTAAAACCAGCCCGATGAATGCTCAAGTCTGCGAAGCACACAGGTGCTTGGAGTTAATCATCGTTTTCTCACAAGCCATCGCTGTTCTTGCATGTAAGTAAATTCAGTGCCTTAATATAATTTACAGCAAAACTGAAATAGCCTTTTAACGAAAAAAGAAAATATTTTCCCTAGGGTGGAAATATTAAATCTGTTCCTTATTTACATATGTGTATGTTGTGTGAAGAAAAGAGAGAAACTTGATCTTGAATTTGGATGTTTTATGTCCTGAAATTAAATGTGTTCAACTTGTTTAGCTTAGTATTTTAGAAGAAGTTATGTTTTGGAACTGCCTGAGCTTCACCTCTCCTTCTAGGATGACCTGTCCTTGGCCTTCAGGACCCCATGTAGCCTAAAACCTTCAGCAGGTTTTAAATGAGTCTTGCTAAAGCCGCAAGTTGAGCTTTGCATTGAAAGCACTTAAAAGCTCGCAAAAAACACAGCTACGATGTCATGCTAGAATGAGAACTGTTTTTCATGCCCCACTGCAAGCTCATTAGTGTTTTCTGCCCAAAAAAGTCTGCAAAGGGAATGCACACTAATAACAGAGCAGCTCAGGGCACTGTGGCCGCGCCAGATAAGGAACCGCAGCACTGGAGCTCTCCCCACCGGCCTCGCCGGGATGCGCTGTGCCAACAGATTAGCCCTCGTGGTCCCGAGGACAAGGAGGGTTTGTCTGAACCCTCTTTGTCCATCTCAGTAGTGAAAATTCATAGTTCAAAAGGCAGGTTTTGGTGGTGTTGGTGGCGGAGAGCGAGTCAGGGTGTTTGAGGGGAGCTGCAGCTCTTTCCACAGTGGGTTCCCCTGATCAAGATGGTCTGCAGCAATCTGACGGTCAACTGGCCCTAAACTCGATTTATTATTATCATTATGATGATGTTTGTAGAAGCCTGTCCCCTCGGAAGGTCGCGGCGCGCTGCCCTCCCCTCAGGGCGAGGCGGGA